CCCTCCCGTGAGGCTGGGAGTTTCTCCCACTGCCACCTCAACCCCCACAGATGTTTCAATCAGAGGTTTGAGGCTTGATTTCCCTGTGCTGGAACTCTGGGTTGCATGGTCTGTCTCACTCCCCAGTTGTTCCTCCCAGTGAATCTGCACACAAATGACGAGCCACCCTGTCCACAGTCTGCCACCTCACTGGATCCGCCAGCTTCCACCTTGCCTGCCCTGGTCCTCCAGATGCTGCCTTGCAGCTAGCCCTCTCTCCCCCGATGCCTGTGTCCACCCCTCCAACTGGTCTGGATGAATGTTTCTTCTTTAACTGCTTGGTTGTTGGACTTCCATACAGTTCGATTTTCTGTCAGTTCTGGTTGTTTTTGTTTTTAAATTTGTTGTCCTTTTTGTTTTGCAAGGAGAAACAGTGTGTCTACCTATGCCTCCATCTTGGCCGGAAGTCCCAAAACAATTCTAATTGCAGTGAAAACTGAGATCCTACAGATCCAAGAACCTCAGGAAAAGCCAAGCACAAAGAACATACAGGAAACATCAACACATGTCACAATCAAATGCCTGACCCAGTGTTGACAACAAAATCACAAAACCCTCAGAGACACGAGGCCCATCCATGGAAACGACAAAGCAGATGCATCAGTACAGAGGTCCCCCTGTGAAGAACACAGACAAAGGGAGAGGGGGGCAAAGTCTCTAGAGAACTAAAAGCAACAAGAAAACAACAACAAGCACCTGTCCACTTTCAAGTCTTTACCCAGTGAAAATATCTTTCAAAGAAGGAAGCAAAGGAACATTTTCTCAGATGTACAGACACTTAGAGAACTGACACCTGCAGACGCTCTGTACCAGGAAGAGCAGCGGACCATCCTGAGTCAGAGAGAAATGGGGATCTACACAGAGAAATTAATGGCATCTGGTATCGTTACCACGGGGATAAATATGAAATGTTTTCTCATATTATTCCATAACAGATATCACTGTTTAACAAAAAAACATTACAACAACATATGTTGTGGTTCATAATATATGATAAAGTAAAATTTGACAATGTTACCACAAAGTTTTGAGAGGAAGAGAAACCTGTTATGATAAACTCAGGTGTCTCACTCACACCTAGTTCAGGTGCATTGTGATGGTTCCTCAGAAGTTCATAAATTCAACAGCAGGAGTGATGTGTTGTCAAAATTCACCAAATCAGGAGAGAAGGTCCTGTGTGACTTCCTGTGCAAACCAGAAGGGAAGCAGCAACCCCTGAGCAGTGATGGTCCCTGTGGGTCACCTGCTTGCTCACCTCGCTGACACAGGACAGGGGTCACAGTGCAGTGGCTCCTCCTTCCCCTGGATCTCCCTTCAGCTGCTCTGACTCCTGGGCCAGGTGTGTGTGCTCAGTGTGACGTCAGTCCTGCCCCTCAGCCCTTAAAGTGACAGATTCACGTCACATTGGGCCGACCTGGTTTGGACCACTGCTCTTCCTGGTACAGAGCGTCTGCAGGTGTCAGTTCTCTAAGTGTCTGTACATCTGAGAAAATGTTCCTTTGCTTCCTTCTTTGAAAGATATTTTCACTGGGTAAAGACTTGAAAGTGGACAGGTGCTTGTTGTTGTTTTCTTGTTGCTTTTAGTTCTCTAGAGACTTTGCCCCCCTCTCCCTTTGTCTGTGTTCTTCACAGGGGGACCTCTGTACTGATGCATCTGCTTTCTCACCACTGAGGTGGTGAGAAACCACCTTAGTTTCTCACTGTCCTTCCTGCTCAGACAGACCAGACCCTCCCCCCAGGGCACTTCCCCTGCTGTCCCCACACTCCCTTCCTCCTGCTGCTCCCTCTTCCCGTCCCGAGGGCAGCTCCAGGGTCCCCTCCAGAGGGACCCCTCCAGCCTCTCCCCACGCAGGACCTGCCTGTCAGTTCATGTCTGATCTCAACTAATTATGTGAATACTATAACAGCGGCACAATTATTTAACTATTATTATTCTCATTTTTTATTAATTTATTAGTGCCTATTATTTTCCTCACTAGTCACGAATTTTTTTAAAGATTTCATTTATTTATTTTTAGAGAGGGAAGGGAGGGGGAGAGAGAGAGAGAGAGAGAAACATCAATGTACGGTTGCTGGGGGTCGTGGCCAGCAACCCAGGCATGTGCCCTGACTGGGAACCGAACCTGCAACACTACGAATTTTTTAAATTCAAAACACACACACGACAATAAGAGACGTGGACAGACAGGAGCTTCTTTTCCTCCTGCAGCCACAAGTCTGGCCCGATGGGTGTTCTGCAGACACTCACCAGCCCTGGGAGGTCCTCAGGTCTCTCACTTTCTTACCAACATCTCTCCAATGCAGGCTCTGCTCTCCTTCTTGGTGCAGATGGACCTCAGCGTGACCGCTGCAGCTCAGCTGTCACACCCAGGGCCAAGGGGACAGGAGCTGCACAAATATACTCTATTTCTTTCCTGTATAAAAGCTAAACTTCTTAGGAAAACAACTAGTTGACAAACACAACCACAATTGAATGCTGAGCTACAAGGTCAGTACTGGCCAAGAGGGACCCAGAAAGAGCAATCATCTGGCTGTTGAACACAGATGGAAGACAAGATACAGGTAGAAGAAGATGATGGTGACTGTGTTGTGTCACCCACAGCAGCATGTCCACTGTGGGCTTCCATGTGCACACTGGCATCTGTGAGGCAGGACTGGTCCCGTTCACATGTCTCACCCAGGACGCAGTGTCTGGCAGACAGAGTTGGGCTGAATCACTGTTTGCTGGGTGAGTGTCTCTTATCTCAGTCTTTGGGTCAATTGCCACCAGCTCATTATTTTCAACCTGCAGTAGCGGTGGCCACCAGTGAGAGGCAGTCCCTGAGTCCTGTGTCCCCTGTGCAAGCCCCAGAATCATATAGCCAGCCAAGGGATATGTTAGAGATGCTTCAGGTGGGCCCACCCCCTCCTCCTCCCAATGAGCCTGTTCATACTTTTATGGGTGATCTGAGCCGCTTGTGCCTGGTCTTGAGACAGGCAGTGGTTATGGAGAGAACAGCATCCCCCCTGGGACCCTCAGTCTCTGGATCAGGGAGTTACCACATGAGCAGTGGGTTCAGACTCTGCACCTGGACAGAGCACACACTTGCTCCTCCAGCAGTCAGTGCAGAGAGGCCAGCAGGGGGCAGGAGAGATCACCTGAGAAAGCCTCCTGGAGCTTGGGAGGGCCTGGGTATGAGAAACTCGACCATGCAGGGTGTAACAGGGTGCAGCCAAGAGGGGAGCCCCAAATAGGGATTTGTAATAGGGTCAGAAGAGCTTGGAGATAATTGGCTCCACTCCACAGGACCACACCTGCCCAGAATGCTGGTAGCTGTGGCCAATTGTGAGAGGAGCCGGAAATGGGGCTGCAGAGGAAGATTGGCACTGGGATTTAAATGGAGGCACAACAGCCATTGGGCGTCTCTCTTTTTGGGACCACGCACCTGTTTAAGACCACACGCCTTTGGTGTCTTGGTTGGGACCATGAGGCTTGGGTGAGAGTCAGGACCATGAGGCTTTGGAAGTGCTCCCCTTTGTCATGTAGAGGGTGCTGGGAGGACTGTGTGCATTTGTGGGGAACTTTAGTTCGTGTTATTTCAAATGAATACTAAATTCCTTTCCCTTTCACTGATCTCTGGCATTGAGAGAAGTCTTTCCTCTGACGGCAGACATAACAAACCTGGGGGGTTCCTTTTGGGTAATAGTATATTGCCTCAGCTGCCCTTGGCCCCCTTGTGTTCTGTAACAAGGGGACTATTACAATTTATTTTTAACCATCTGCCCCTTTATTATTAATGGAATTAGTTTAATTGTGGTAAACAGGGGGTCATTAACAACCACTCACACCTATAGAAAGAGTAGTAACTTTTCTACACTATCACCTTTTACACAGATGATGTAACATTCTGGCTGTGAGTCTCTTAGATTGGGTTCTTGCAGAACTGGCCTGGTTTTCCACCTCAGGTTTGGGTAATTCATTCCTGTCCAGCCCACCCCTTTCATGCTAACATCCTATAACTGTCACTCCTTTGCAAGCACTGGAGCTACGCTGGCACTGGCTCCCACTGGGGACACTGGGGCACCTAAACCAGTCTCCAGAGCTGTAATCAAGTAGAAAGGTAGAGCACCTCAGGGGCTCCAAGTGCTGCATGTGCCCTGAGCAAGGTGGGAATGTCATTCAGGCCTGATGCTCACATACTGTCACTGGGGAGAGACCCTGCTGGGACCTCAGGTTCATATTGTCACCACTACAGTTAATGCTCCATAGTGGGTCCAGAACACGCAGACAGATGTCAGCTCTGAGCTCGGCTGTGGTCAGACCTGACAAGTAATAAGGTCATGAGATACTCTGGAATGGACATGTCAGCTGCACGCTGTGGCACCAGGGGATGAACTGGATCCCCTAGGAATGAGGTGAGGTCTGCAGGGACCACCCTCTCTTCCCTGAGTCTCTCAGGCTGAGCCCCCATCAGGAGCCACACAGCTCCTCAGGCAGCTCCCCTGAGCCCTGGCTGATTTGCATACCCAGCAGCTGTCTATCCAGCAAGGAGATAAGAGAGGCCTGGGAGGTAAGCTGCCCAGCCTGGGGCCTCAGAGAGCAGAAGCAGGGCACCTCCACCATGGCCTGGACCCCTCTCCTCCTCGGCCTCCTCGCTCACTGCACAGGTGCTGTGCCCAGGCTCTCACCCTCCCCCAGCCCCAGGGATCTGGACAGGCCTGACCCTGACTATGAGCTCAGCAGGGCACTGGCAGTGGGACAGGACGCCCATGGCCCTGCAGGTGGAGGCGGGACTGGTGGGACTGGACTTCACTGTGCTCACTGGCTCTGAGTGCAGGGTGCTCTCACTCTTTAAAAGTGCCATCCACCAGCCAGGCCCACAGGCTGCTGAGGCTGAGACTGATGAGTGGAGGCCAAGAGACTGCTGGGAGCTCAGTGTAGGTCAGGCCAGAGGGGGTTTCCACATGATCAACCCCTCAGCTAGAATGTAATCTCTTCTTTCTTCTCTTGCAGGCTTTGTGGCCTCATATGAGCTGACACAGTCGTCCTCGGTGTCAGTGCAGCTGGGACAGACGGCCAGGATCACCTGTGGGGGAGACAGCATTGGAAGTAAAAGTGTTTACTGGTACCAGCAGAAGCCCGGCCAGGCCCCTGTGCTGGTCATTTATAATGATAGCAACCGGCCCTCAGGGATCCCTGACCGATTCTCAGGCTCCAACTCAGGGAACACGGCCACCCTGACCATCAGCGGGGCCCAGGCCCAGGACGAGGCTGACTATTACTGTGCAGTAGCTGATGGCAGTGGGAGCACTTGGCATTGACTCACAGTGATACCCACAGACAGAGAAGTGAGAAAAAAACCTCCTTCTGTGTCACACTCTCCCCTGGTCCCACAAGGACTGTGGGCAAAGTCACCAGCATGTCTGGCTCAGGTTCCATTTCTCAGGTCTCCCAGTGGCCCCTCCTCCCAACCTCAGGCAGCTGTGCAGAGGGTGGGTCAGGAGTGGATTCAGGGCAGCAGGACCAGGTTGGCCTGCTGTGTCTGTGACACAGTGTCTCTTCCAGTATTAGGGACCAACAAAAGGACATACTGCCAGAGTCCTGTGTCCAGAAGTAACAATCCTTGAATTTCTGCATCACGGTCACTGGGCTGCCCCTTGTGAAAGGATCTGGATCATCCCCAGAGCTGCCAGCTCAGCTGAGCTCCTAAAGCCTCAGCCTCATAGCCACCCAGGACTCTGAATGGAGCCCAGCAGTGTACCGGACACTGTGAGATCCCCTGGTGCCCAGTCAGCTCCCACATGCCCACCACCACAGCTGCAGGCCCCTGGCTGCTCTCAGCTCGGCCCTCCCTGGGAAGCAGGATGGTGGCAAGGAAGGGCCACCTGATTCAGCACTTTCTCTGAGTGTGACTCAGGCCTAGGGACAGCTGGAGGAGAGGTAGGAGTAATTTCCATGATATATTATGTTCAACTACATTAGTGGGAAATACTTCAATATAAATTAAATGTTGATATATTGATAATTTTACCTTATTTTATAATAAATCTTAAACATCTGGTGGGCATTTCAAAGTACAACACCTCTTCATTGGGACCGCCCACATTTCATCCTCAGTAGGTGCTTGTGGCTTGTGGACACAGAAGGTCAGATGGGTGACATGTCCTTGTTGGGGTGGACATGGAAGAGAATGACACTACCCTGCAGTATGCAATCGCAGCCAGCAGGGAGCAAAAGGGGATGGGTTCTTTAAGCAGAACCTCAATAGGAAGGAATGTCTGCCCCACTTCCCACCTCAACCAGGAGTGTCAGGGGCAGAAAGAGGGAATTGTTATATCACCTGTCCACTCTACTTCGATCCTCAAAGACAAGATATTAAATACAAGTACAATTTTAAACATGATTTGGAGCCATGGAGCTCATTTTTATTGCTAGTGGAATGAATGACACAGTGTATATACATTTGTAAATAGTTGTTGGTACAAGAAACCCCTTCAGTGGGCAGATCATTTCCAGGAACATCAATACAAGTCATAAGGTTATATTCTGTTCAAGGAAATATAGGGAGGACTAAGAAATATTTTCTTGAAGCAGGATGACTTGCTATTTTTAAGAAGGAATATATTTCCCTACCTCACAAGCACGGATTACAGTTTGAGGTGAAATTTCCCAGATGGCACTCACAGGTGACCTCCCAGGGCGTCAGGAGACCCACAGCACAGGTGTGAGCACTGGCCTGCAGGAGTGGCCAGCGGACCCCAGGGGGACCCTGAGGTGTGAGTGTGAGGAGTGGATGGGAAGGGGAGAGGAGCTGCTGTGGTCCCCTCAGCTAGGGACAATAGGGGGCATGTTTCAGGCACCAGACCCTGGTCCCCTCTCCACTGTCTCTCAGACCAAACTCTGAGGAGTGAGTCAGGGGTCTGGCTGGCTGTCTGTGCACATGAGTCACAGCAGGGCTGCACCATCACCTCCAAGGACAACGCCTACAGCATTTCCCAGATGAATTAATTACATTATATTCTCAGCAGTACTGGTGTGAAAACAAATACATTTGTTTGAGATGTTAGGCCACAATGCACCTTGCCAATTATATTTACTAATATTAAAAGATTTCTCTTCTTATTCTGACAGTCATCCAACCTCAAGACCTCATGGCCTTGACAATGTTACAAAAGGAATTCTCACTTATTTCTCCTGAGGATCCCAACCTGATCCCAATGTCTCGCTGTGTTGTCTGCCATGGTGGACGTGGCCCCACCTCTGTGCACAGAGAGACCCGGGTTTCACTGGGAAACACAGATTCCAACACCGAGAAGATCCGAGTGCACTTCAGAGCAGACTCAGGGGGACGGAGCACCTGCACACAGAAGGCAGAGCTGTGACTCAGCGACTCAAGAGGCTGGGACATGGGACAGGGGAGGGGCAGGATAATGGACATGGAGAAGGGCTGGGCAGGGAGGGGATTCACAGGTCAGGCTCTGAGAACCAGCTCCTGCATCCCGGATTGGAGCCTTGGCTCAGCATCACTGTTGGGGGACTCTGGGGAAATCATAACCTCACAAGGTTGGCTCCCTGATCATTGGAAGGTGCCTTCAGCAGAAGGATCATGTTGGATAATTATGATGTCTGGTGAGGGGTGCAAGTCAAACACTCACCAACCTTCTGGCACCTATTAAAGCCTCCAAAGTATTCAGTAGGTTGAGCTACTGACATGGGGAATGACATTCATCCTAGAGACACAAGGGGGCACTGTGGGTCTTGCCTTAGGAACTCAGATAATTCAAGTCCCCTGGGCTGTGCTCAATGCGAAGGGTGTGACAGATGCTTCTTTGAAAACAGTTTTATTGGGTAAAATCAACTCTTAATGAAACCAACACCTGGACCTTCTTCTGACTTCAGGAAATTACCAGCAGGAGGCTGTCAGGCTTGGGGTTGAGACAAGATCTGAGACACATTTGCATTTGAGCTCAGCAATCTTAAGCTTCAAGGAGAGAGGATAAGACAGAGGCTAGGAGAGGCCAGGGCCAGCTGGGCAGCCTCAGGGCAGAACTCCTGAAAGCCCCTCCCACCATGGACTGGGCTCCCTTCTTCCTCCTGCCCCTGGTTTTCTCCACAGGTCAGAGCATCCCTGGGCACACAGGGGTCCCACTCCCCAATATTTTCCTTCCAAGCACAGTCCCAAGGGGCATCTGTCCAGTCTGGGTGCCTTTGGCATCATCCCCGTGTTTTGTGTTTGCAGGTCTCTGTGCTGCACCTGTGCTGACCCAGCCCCCGTCTGCTTCTGCCTCCCTGGGAGCCCCAGCCCAGCTCCCCTGCACCCTCAGCAGTGAGCACCGAACCTACACCATTCGCTGGTATCAACAGAGACCAGGAAATGGCCCTCGGTACCTGATGTACATTAAGAGTGATGGAAGCCACAGCAGTGGGGACGGGATCCCCGATCACTTCTCGGGCCCCAGTTCTGGGGTCAACTGCTACTTAACCATCTCCAACCTCCAGTCTGAGGATGAGGCTGAGTATATCTGTGGTGAGAGCCACACACACACGACGGCCTATTCACAGAAGCCACAGTGACACAGACAAAAGGGGAGTAAGGCCCACACCTCCATCCCCCTTCCCCTCCCCCCCAGGGACTTGGGCTAAGCTGCTCCCTGTCCTTGGCCAGGGCCCTGAGACATTTACATCTTCCCCTGCAAATCCCATCATCCTGTACTTCCTCCCGTCTGGGGAAAGTCACATATGGTCACAATGTAGGTCATTTTCACAAAGCAACGTCCTGTTTCCTCCAATACAGGGCTGTAGGCAGGATGCGGGACAAACGTGAGCAGCCCAGACAGGAACATGACCCTGAGCAAGTGGCTGGGCTGAGAAGACCTCGACCCCAGGAACCATGTGGCCTTTGCTTCCATTTTGGGACTCTTTTCAAGGGAGGAACACAGACCTTGGCATTCCAGGGATGACCTTGGAAGTAGGAACAGTGACTGTATTAGCTCAGGACACCTGGGAATAAAGATGAAGTCCTGTGAGGACTGAGGTTCGGCAGGAAGCATTTGTCCCTCAGCAAAGATAGGACAGAGAAAACTGACCCCAATATGGAGGCAGAGCTGGGTCCAGGAGGGAAGCAGGTGCCTGTTGGGAGGTCTGGGGAAGGACCCCTATGGAGCATGGGCTGGGTCCCCCAGCTGTGCCAGACTCTCAGCCTGTGGTGCCAAGGAAGGCTCCACATCTGCCCACGGGAGTTTTCCAGGGACAGATCAGGACAATGTCCACTGGGACACGGGGGATGGGAATGCTGAGGTGGAAAATATGTCAGCGACCTCCTACCTCCAGTCTCTGCCCTGTGGGTCACCGGGCTCAGCTGCATCTGTGGGGGGATGGAGACAGGATTAGTGGGTGGGTTGATACTCTGCTGACTTTCCCGGGAACTGAAATACCAGAACCTTTCACTCACACCAACACCTTAGAGTCAGCCTGGAGCAGCTGCGTGGACCACAGTGATCTGGTTGCTGCTCACAGGTAGGTGAGGGGCAAGGCTGGGCACTCACCTGAGCAGGTTCAAGCCAGTCCTGTCTCATGATTGTGGGATTCATCCCAGGACTTGTAGCTGGGATCTCCAGAATGGACATCACATGGTGTCACTGGTACAGTAGGGGAATAATTAAAGCCTGCTGAGCCCTTGACAGTAACCCCAGGGAGCAGGTGACACAGGTGCCAGGACCTGCCCTGGGAGGCAGCTGGAGGGGATGTGGCTGAGGGGGTGACAGGCAGACTGCGCCGAAAGCGAGAGTGTGTGTGGTGAGCTGTCCCTTGCCCTTGGTGCATTTTGCATCTCTCAGACTGTCACTCTCTGTCTCTGTCTGTCTGTCACTCTGGTGAGATCTGGGTTTCTCACTCTTGGTCATGTTCTGTGTGATCCCTCCAGAGCAGCTGACCCTGTCTTACCTGACCCCGCATCATGCACCCCTTTCTCCACTTTCTTCCTGTTCCATGTGGTGTGTGTGCCTCTGTATCTGTCTGTCGTGTCATCACCTCAGTGACTTGTGATGGTGAGCAGATATCTTCAGGTGCCTATTTTCACATGTGCATCTCCTTTTATGGTCAAGTGTTGGATCACATGTTCCGGTATTTTTAAAAATTTGGATCCTCCTGTTTCTGGGTATGTGAGTGTGTATTTTTTCTTATATACTTTATTTATTTGTTTATTTATTTTCTTCACCCAAGGACTTTTTTTTGTCTTTGCTTTTAGTGACAGAGAAAGGGACAGAGAGGAAGGGAGAGAGAGAAACATTGATTGTTTGCCTCATATGCACCCAGACCGGGTATCAAACTCACAACCTTATGATCAGAGGATGATGCTCCGACCAACTCAGCCACACTGGACACGGCTACACACTTCTCTCCCACGTGGAGCCTCATGCGCCCACCACAGCGGTCAGGATTCCATGTGGTCCCATCACACGTGGACTCTACGTGTTTCCCTTTTACAACACCCACCTCCTCCCACCCAGACCCTTCCCCTGCCCCTCAGCCCTGCAGCCATCACCTGGTTCTCCATCTCTCAAATTCTGTCATTGGAAAAATTGTGTATAAATAATTTTATACACAGGAACTTTTCGTGATTGGTTATTCATTCATCACATTTCCTTATACACTTGTCAATGGTGTTGTGTGTATCCATAGTTCATTTTTTTTACAGCTGAATAGTATTCTGTGTTTCACATGCACCAGTGTCTGTTTAACCATCACCCAGAAGGACATTTGAATTGTTTCCATTTTGGGGCTCCTATGTGTAAGGGCGCTGGTATGAACTGAATGATTGTGTCTTCCGAAGTTCGGACATTGAAGTCCTTACTCCCAATGTAGCTGTATGTGGAGGCAGGGACTCCAAGGAAGTAATAAAAGCCACAGGATGTGTCATGGTGGGGCTCTGGTCTGATGGGATCACTGACCAGACTGTCTTTCTCTGTCATTCTGTCATTGTCTCTCTCTCTCTCTCTTCCAACAAGCAACTCGCTGGTGTTTGGTTACCACAGCCTGAAGGGACTAGACAGGTGCTGTGGACACCTGTGTATGGGTTTTATGTAAACATAAGTTTTTAATTTTCTGAAATAAATGCCCAATGATGCAGTGACTGGTTGTATGGTAATTGCATGTTCATGTTATACTAACCACACGGCTGTTTGTCCACTGTGGCTCTGCCGTCTGACCTTCCTACCGGCACTGAGTGAGTGACCCCCTTCTCGCTGCCTGACCAGTGTCTGGTGCTGCCCCAATTTCACTTCAGTCAGTCTGCTCCGTGCTGACCGGTGTGCAGGTGTCTCGCTCTGGTTTTAACTTACCTTCCCTGGTGGCTCCTGATGAACATTTTTCTGTGTTTTTTTGACATGTGTATATTTTTTCATCAACTGTCTGTGTCATCTGCTCATTATCAAATTGAATTTTGCTTTGTTTACTTTTTAAAATTTCTAAATGATTTGAGAGAAATGTGCATCTGTTGCCCCGCCCATCCACGCCCTCATTGGCCGACTCACATCTGCCCCTCAACCAGGGGTCAGACCCGAGTCCCTGGTGCATTAGGACACCACTCCAACCAACCGAGCCCCCTGGCCAGGGTTGTTTGCTGTGTGTATTAATTAGTTTGAAACTTTATACACATAGTTCCTTGATGGGTTGGGATTGCCAAGTATTTTGTCCCACTTTATTGTTTTTTTACATTAACTCCTTAAAGGAGACTTTAAGCTTTTGTAAAACAAAGCTTTTAATTTTAAAGGATTTCCATTTATTTTCTATCCTTTTGCATATCAAGCATTTCTATGAAATCTAAGAACCCTTGCCAAGACCAGTGAAAATAGATTTTTCTTTTTTTTTCTAAAATGTAATAGAAATTCCCCCAGAGGCATGTGACCAGTGTCACTGTGTCCTGGAGCAAAGTCCAGCCTCTTGCATCAGCTTGACCACTGTCCCTACCAGCTTCTGTTTCCAGCACCCCCACCCCACACTGCACTGTGATCTCATCACTGGAGGGGACTGAGCATTCTTCCCGAGACCAGAGAGGAGACTCGGCCCACCTGTGGGTGCAGGGGCTGGTCAGGGGTCAGCACTGTCCTCTCAATACCACAGAGAGCTCTGAGCAACCAGGGTGCAGACCTGGAGGTGACGACCCAGCTTTAAACCCTCCACTGGCCCCAGCTGCTCTCTGTCCAGCAGGTGCCACTCAGCAAGGCCACAAGGGGAAGGAAGTGGATTTGCATGGAGCCCCTCATGCAGGATAAGACAGGCCCCGAAGCCACATCGTCAGCTGTGGGTCAGAGGAAGATCCTGGGGCTTCTCCACCATGGCCTGGACCCCTCTCCTGCTCCCCCTCCTCACTCGCTGCACAGGTGCTGACTCCCAAGGCTCAGCCCCCACAGAAACCAGGAGCAACCTGGCCCTCACCTTCGCTCAGTACAGGGGACTCCGCAGGGTGTGCCCGTCTGGGAAGGAGACCCTCATCCTCACACTCACCTCTCCTGTCCTCTCTTACAGGTTCGGTGTCCTCTTCTGAAGTGACTCAGCCCCCAGCAGTGTCTGTGACCCTAGGACAGACAGCCAGGATCACATGCCAGGGAGAGATACTAAAGCGCCGCTATGGTTCCTGGTACCAGCAGAAGCCAGGCCAGGCCCCCATGCTTGTTATCTATGCTGATAAGAACCGGACTTCAGTGATCCCTGACCGATTCTCTGTTTCTGACCCAGAGGACACAACCACCCTGATCATCAGTGGGGCCCGGGCTGAGGACGAGGCTGACTATTACTGTTACACATCTGACAGCAGTAGTAACACTCACAGTGACACAGGCAGACGGGGAAGTGAGACAAAAACCCCTTCCCCATCTGTGCACACTCTCTTCCTGCCCAAGTATGACCACAGACAAAACCGTGAGATGGTCTGACTCAGGCCCCAGGTCTGAGATCCACAGCCTGCCCCCTCCTCCCAGCCCTCAGCCAGCTCTGCAGAGGGTGGGACAACAGTCCATTCAGGGCTGGCAGGACCAGGATGTCCTGGGGATTTCTAGGCCAGGGTGTGAGTAGGGACACAGGGCCTGAATGGAAGGACACAGGGGGAGACATCCAGGCAGCGGTGAAGGACACTGCATGTCCACGTGATGGAGGCTGTGTCACTCACAGGCCCACGGCTCTGAATCAGTCTCCAGAACTGTCCTCCTGGTCTGAGCTCCTGAGGCCGCGGGATCTGACGGCTGCCTTGGACCCTGAACAGATGTGAAGGGAGGGGTGGGTAGAAAGGAAAAATGTTTGAAGAAATATGGGCCAGAACGTTCTAGTTTTAGTGAGCATTAGGAACCCACAGATCCAAGAAACACGATACACCCCAGCACCTAAAACACAAAGGAAACAGCACCCACACACATCACAACCAAACCCCTCACACCCGTGTGGAGGAGACCATCAAAAAGCAGCAGAGCAAAAGTCACGTCCCCCACACAGGAAGATCCCTGGTGGAAGCGCAGGGTTCTCGGTGGAAGCAACGCAACCAGGAGGAGCCGGAACCAGCGTCTTCAGAACACAGACAACAAACCAACACAAAAGCTGTAGGCTTCCAGCTCCGCCCAGAGAAACGCCTCTGAGGAAGGGGCAGAACCACCCCTGCTCACACGCACAGCCACGTGCACAGCTGAGCACTAGCAGACCCTGAGTGCAGGGAGGGAGGTAGGACACCCCTCCGACGGAAGGGATGTGACCCAGACAGAAAGAGGAATCCATGAAAAGAAGTGAAAGGCACCAGATAAGGTAACTACATGGATAAGGAGAAACATTTTATATTGTTCAAAGCAAAAGAACAGTAACAGGGTATGAAGTTATTTATAATGTTAGTTAAAGCAAAATGAAGGACAATGTGAGCAAAAGTTTTTAGAGGGTGAAAAACATGATGTAATGTCCCTATGCCATATGTGAAGCGATATGACAGCACTAGAAGGGGGACTTTGGTAAGTCGGGTGTGTCCTGCAGACCCTACCCCAACCCTTAAAATAAAACCCTTTCTAAACATTGGTTAGATTTAATGTCACCAAGGGCAATAACATGAAATCATGAAAATATATTCAAAGAGACTTGTGGGAAGATTGAATTTTCCAGTGACACTCGGCTAAAGGCTGCCTACTAGAAACCCACGTGACCTTGCCAGGTGAACGGGACTGTGGTGCAGTCACAGGTGGAGGGAGAGAGAGAGGTCAGGGGGCCCGGAGGGGCCCCTGGGGTGCACAGAGCGTCTGCGTGAGGTCCCTCCACCTGACAGGTCCCTGAGGCTTGTGGACTCACTGCTGGACTGCTCCTCTGCAGTTTGCTTTATGTGAAGCTGTCAGGGGGATCACAGCCCTGCTGACCTCAGAGAATGGATAAGAAACGGCGCCCCCTGTGGCGGTGTGGTGACAGAGCCCCGTGGAGTGGGAGTTACTCTTCCTCACATGTTTGATGGGATTTGCCATGAAGCCACTGTGTCTGTGGTTCTTGTTTTAGCAAGAAGGGGTGTAATTACTGATCAGTGTCTCTCCTTCCCCTACCCCTTCCCCTCCCCCTCTCTCCCTCCTCTCTCTGAAGGAAGACATTGAAGTGCCTGCATCTGATTGTGGGGTTTTGCATTTCTCCTGCGAGAGAAGAAACTCTTCAGATGGTGAGCCCAGGTGCTTTAGGAACCTGACAGAGGCCGCCTGGCATGTCCCACTACTCACCAGGGAGAGAAAGGCAGAGTCCCGGGGCCCTGGAAAGACTGAAGGTGGCCCATGAGGACTACGGTGACGTGCCTCCACAGCTTTTGTTGAATGACACTGAGTCGTTGCTTTTTCTCCAAGTCACTAATTAGTCTAAGCCATCTGTCAGACAATGTGAAATGGAGTTGGAATAACGCGTGGTAATCTGATGTCTTGTAGACACATGAAGATCTTCACATGAGCTACAGTACAAAGTGAGGGCCAAGTGTCTGAGGGTCTCAGACCCTGTGCACTGTGCTGCTGCTACAGGGAAGGAGACAGACTAAATGCCCTCCCCGTGGAGCTTTGACCTCGTGGGATCAGCAATAAAGGACAAATATAGTAAAGAAACAGAGCACGTCAGTACAAGGTACGGTACGTGAGAAGGGTAAGTGCCTGGCACCACCTGCACCCACACATCCGCCCACACAGAGCTCTCTCCCACACAGGCCTCTGAAAAGCATTTTCACAGGGACTGCTGAGCGCTGAGGGAGGCTGGGGCCCCCGGGGTCAAAACCGGCTGCAGGACTCGAAGCATCGCCCCTGAGGCCCAGGCCCCTCTCCTGCTCATTCTGCACAGGGTGGTGCCCCAGGCCCTGCCTGTGGGCTTGACACTCACTGAACCTAGAGCCTGAGCTCACCCCAGGGGATGCGGCAAGGGGTGGGACCCTTGAAAGTGATCCTCTGTTTCTGGGACGTGCAGGTTCAGGGTCTCCTAAAGATATAGTTGTTTTCACTGGAGTAGCCATGACACACCTGTCACTCCCACTGGTCAGGGAGCTGACGACCAATCAGTGCAGCAGACCAGAGGCAGCAGGATCCAGGCCAGACCCTGCAGAGCAAAGCAGCTCCTGGGTCCCCAGACATTCTCCAGCTCTGACTTGGGTGCAGAGGCTGACACCCCAACATCCCCAGTGAGGGAGATTCTCATGACAGCCAGGAGGGCATGGGGGCAACAATGAGCCTGGAGGCCACCACCCTACCACCCAGCTAGGCCCTCATGCTCCCCCCCCCCCCACCTCTCGTCACTCTCAGCCCCTAAGAGCCAAGGTCAGAGTCCAGGACACCAGGGCTTCACTCCTGGACTCACCCCATTTTCTCAGTTTTCCTGGGGACCTAGTCTCTAGGTCTCAACTACACCTGCTATGAAATGGAAAGTTTTACACTTAATTTTGGAAACTAATTTTTCCCCCAAAATTAAATAATACAGAAGAAAGAAAAATGTCCTAGAGACTGAGCAGAAAGTCAGCTGGGACTCACAGGTTGCACCTCCGGTCCATCCTCTGGAGAACCCCTGAGAGGGGCCAGCACATGCTGACATCTGTGGGGAGGGGTCGGCTCCCAGATCAAAGGAGCAGGGGGCTCCCAGTCTGGTCAAAGGCCAGCAGGCTGGAGCAGACCCCACCCACTGCTCACTCTGGGAGGGGAGAGCAGGAATGGAATCACTGCCCTAGGGGTGACAGCAGTGACACTGAGTTCAGTGCCCAGCTGATGTTGGTGTAGGAACATCTGTGTCCCACAGTCCTTACTGGGGTAAGGGTAGAGACAGTTCTAGTTTGAGATACACTGAAATCCTGGGTCCCTGTAGGCTGGCATGTGGGTTTCTACGGGATTTGCAAAGAAACTGAGTTTCTTTGCAAAAGAATAGAGTTTCTTCTGCACCCTCCAGTCTTCTAACTAAACCAATCAGCAGGAAGTCCATTGTAACCCTGGGACAGTGTGACCAGGACTGCACCTCCCGCCTTCTTGCAATCCTTATGCGACCTCTCAGAGCAGAGTTGCACAAGACAAGGGTCACACCCTCTCAGGTGACAGGTGCTCTGGGTTCTTGCAAGAGGGAAGCTACTGGTCTGAGTTCCCCTCACCAGCAGGGGGCAGCTGAGCTGCCTCCAGGAGCAGCCTGGCAGAAGCTGGGGCTGCCCAGCTGGAGCGCAGAGGGAGACCAGCCCTGGGGCCAGCAGCTGCAAGGCTCAGTGCAGGCACTTCAAGAAGTTCTATCTGTCCCCTTGAGACCCAATGAGCACATTGTGACAGTCAGGCTCACACAGTGTCACTGCTGGACCCTGACAGGAACACGTGAGTGCTTCAGCTGAAATGCATGTCACCTCATTGTTGGCCAGGGTTCTGGGGCTGACCCTGTGTCTGGGCAGGAAAGGGACACCCTGACCTTTACTTTCTGCCTCTTGTTCCCACCTCTGGGTGCTCTCTGACCCTGGGGCTGCAACTACTCTGCTCAGGGCCATCTCAGGGGAAGAGGGCAGAGTCAGAACCTCTGGTCCCTGCCTGGAGCAGCACAGACACTTCAGGAGATTCTCCGAGGGAAGGGGATTCTCCCTGCTCAGGTCCAGCTCTGGTCACCAGACTGTCCTTGGTCAGGAACAAGTTCAGCCTCAAAGGAGAGACCACAATATCTGGTCCCCAGAGGTCACGACCTGTGTGAAGACCAAGGCTCTGGGGACCCTCACAGAGCACATGGGGCCTGAAGCTGGGGTCTCAGTCAGGTGGCTTTCTGGAGCTTCTTCCAGTTCAGTTAAAACCCTGATGCAGCATTTTAGAAGGACCAAACAGTGTACAGCCCCCATAGTGAGTCTGTGTGGAGAGGGGCCCGGAGGAAGGGACACAGACACCAGTGTGGGTGAGACTGGGAGCTGGTGTGAATCGCCCAAAGCAGGAGCCCATTGAACAAGGAACACATCACACCAGAGGCACCGCACATGCATCCTGGCCCCACGGAACCACGTCTAATGAAAGCTGATGATGGACACTCATACGTGCGTGGGGACACAGAGAGGATGTGAAGGAGGAGGAGGAGGAGAAAGTGGTCGGAACCAGGGCCCTGCACCTGCTGAGTCAG